CCGTGCTCCAGCAGAGCCTCAAAGTCCGGGGAACACACCAGCTTGTGCTTCACGTGGCCCAGGACGATCATCTCCCCCGTCCGGTTGTCCCCGATGCCGACGGACACCAGCTCCTTTGCCAGAGGGGAGAAACACCCGTGAGCAGCCCAATCCCACGGGAAACCAGTTAACTGTGGTGGGAAAAGGGCCGAGGTCCCTGCTTGCTGTGGGGGGGGACAAAGCCTGGAGGAGATGTGCCCCCCTCCTACCCACACCCCGGGGGCAGGAGTGGGCTCCTTCCCCCCCACTACCACAGGGATGGGCTGCCAGCCCCATCCCCTAGGGGCCAGCATGACCCTGCTTCTCCCCGATGGTCCCAGCGACCCCCCAGGGGGTATCAGGGGGCGCAGCCCCACAAATCAGGTCCCCAGCACTCCCCCCGTACCTGCAAAAAGGAGCAGGGGGTCCCCATGGTCACGTCCAGGGTCACCTTGCCCAGCACCAGCTGTACCTTTCCCGACTTGCGGATGAGCAGTTTCCCCACCTGCCCCTCGGGGAGGTCGGCCAGGGTGCAGGTATTCTCCGCCTGCTTCGCCTCCTGCCACCGCGGGACGAGGGGGACACACATCACCACGCTGTCCCCTGTCCCAACCCGCTGCTCCCCCCTCCCCACCGAGTCCATACCTGGCTCTTCTCCTGCTTCACCACGACCACTTGTCCTTCCTCGTTTTGCAGCTCCGTTTTGATGGGTTTGGTGTCCTGGGTGGGCGGCTGGCCGGGCAGCGTGTCGGGCAACTGCAGGAAGAGCAGCTCCTCCTCGGCCGACAAACTCAGCCGTTGCAGCAGCTCGGCCACCGAAACGTCCCGGGGAAAACCGGGGGGTCCCATGGTTTGTGCCGGCTTGGGCAGGGGGTCCTCATCGCACGGCTCTTCTTTCACTGGCGCGGGGAGCGAGAAGTGGCGGATGGGGATGAAGGGAACAACCCCCACCCCTCCCCAAAGCCCCTACCCGCTGGGATTCCCCCCACCCCAGCGATTCCCCCC